ATAAAGGCTAAACATGCGAGGGTTATTCGGTGAATTGTTAACTTAACATATACGAGCGATCATGCACGGCCCGTGGTGCGCTACGTGCGACACCACGTTATCCTCGGCCAAACATTTTGAACATGTCATTTTATCCGAACATTATAGCTAAATTAAACATGATATTGCACATGAAAGCTAAGCATGCAAGATTGTTCGGGGAATTCCATGAAAAACATAACATGGTTCGGATAAATTTATTTAAAATATAACATGACCGCACGGCAATAGCTATAACACACATGCATGACCTTTTTCATAATTTAACTTGGATGAACATGATATTTATGGCCTAAGCCGATGGGAAATTACCTCGTATCAAACTCCGGAGGCTAACTCCTGTGCGATGGTGCTCGATGCGTGCGATGCGTGCGATGCGTGCGATGCTCTCGGCCTTCCGTGCGGTGCTCGGCGGCTCGGACGTGCTCTCGGTAGAAGCTCACGCACAACACACGATAATTCTCACTAACTCTCTTTCACTCTCGGCAAAGAGGACTTGGGTGTGAAAAGAAGATGATAAAAATACTATAACACCTTCTTATAACCAAGGCCGAAAGTATGGGCGGAGGTTTTGAGGCCTTGGTCAATATTCTCTTACATGTGCACAAAAGCTTCGGTTACTCCGCCCTAGTGCCAACAAAAATGCACGGATTCTCTCGGTCACATGCTAGCAACAAGACAAGGCTAGGCGCGGACAATGAGGGACATGTTGGGCGCGACTTCTTGGTTACTCCGCCCATGCAATGAGGCGCACGGGTACACGCACGGTCTCGGTCACTCCGCCCTCCAACACGGACGAGGAAAAGCGTACGGACTTCAAGGCTTGTGCACATGCCTCGGATACTTCGTCCACGTTGTTCGCGCGACGTGCACGGACGCGGATGGTGCACGGATACTCACGCGGCGCACGGTACTCGCGTGCACTATGGACCGAGACACTCGCACGGCACTTGAACAATGAACGGCTATGAATATGATCTCGGAATAAAATCCGAACAATTACTAATCTCGTGATTAAATTAAATTAATCACTTAATTATGTTTAATTATCCAATTAAACATAATGCTAAATTACCAAAATTATTTCGAACGTAAACGGTACGTCGAAAATAGTTCCGCTAATTTCGACTGAAATAACTGAAATTAATTAACTCCGAAAAATAATATCGGAACTGAAATATTATTATACTGATAAAAGTCGGGATATTACAAAAGGTGCCGATCAAGATCAAAGGAGTCACGGTAAAAGCTTATCTTTATGCTTTACCCCTAGTTGGACCGGATGTCGTACTAGGAGTCCAATGGCTTGAAGGATTAGGCAAAGTGACCACCGACTACCGAACCGGAGTTATGGAGTTCAAATCTGGAGGTCGGCAAGTCACTCTGAGCACCGGCACTGAGAAAGGAGCTAAAGAAGTTTGGTTGAAGAGTATCGAAAGAGTTTGGCGAAGTGGTGGTGAAATATTCACTGTAGAGTCGAAAGTAGGGAGCCGCATATAGAAGAGGCCGAACAACAGCAGGGCGATGTGTGCAAGCTTCTTGAGGAATTCGAAGGGGTGCCAGGCGAGCCCAAAGGCCTGCCATCTCACCGGGAGTTCGACCACCGCATACCCCTGGTAAATGAGCATCATGCAGTACACGTCCACCCCTATAGGGACGCACACTTCAAGAAAACTGAGATTGAGAGGCAAGTGACTGAGATGCTAGAATCGGGGTTAATTCAGCATAGCAAGCGTCTGTTTTCTTCACCTGTACTGTTAGCTAAAAATAAAGATGGCACGTGGAGGTTCTGTACTGACTACCGAGCTTTGAATGTCGCGACTATCAAGGATCGATTTCCTATACCTAGTTTCGACGACATGCTCGATGAGTAAGCTGGATCACGTTACTTCTCGAAGCTCGATCTGAGAGCTGGTTATCATCAGATTCGGCTCCACAAAGCCGACATATCAAAGACAGCTATTCGTATGCATCAGGGACACTATGAGTATTTGGTGATGCCATTCGGGCTATGCAACGCCCCATCCACTTTCCAGTTTGCTATGAATTCTATCTTCAAGGAGTATCTACGTAAGTTTGTTTTAGTCTTCTTTGATGATATACTGGTGTATTCAAATTCATGGGCTGAACATCTGGAGCATTTGAGAGTGGTGCTTGAAGTCTTGGAGGCTAACTCATTTCACATTAAGCCGTCCAAGTGCTCATTCGGACAGGAGATGGTCGAGTACTTAGGACACTTTATATCTGATAATGGCGTGACGGTTGATCCAAAGAAGATAGAGGCGATGGTCGACTGGCCCAAGCCAACGAGTCTTACGCAACTCAGAGAGTTCCTAGGGCTCACGGGCTATTACCGGAAGTTTGTGAAGGATTATGGAACCATCGCCAAGCCACTGACAGAGATGACTAAGAAAGGCGGGTTCACTTGGACTGTGGCTAGCGAGGAGGCATTTCGGAAACTAAAAGTAGCTATGACTACAACGCCAGTGCTCGCCATGCCGAGGTTTGATGTCTTGTTCGAGGTACACACTGATGCGAGTGACATTGAGATTGGAGTTGTGCTAGTGCAAAAAGGACGACCCTTAGCCTATCTCAGCAAGGCACTAGGCACGACTCGACTAGGTTTATCTGTGTACGTGAAGGAGATGCTAGCAGTTGTCGAGGCTGTAAGGTGCTGGAGGCCTTATCTATTGGGACGACGCTTTCGGATTGTGACCGACCAACAGCCGCTTTAGCATCTACTCGAGCAAAGGATTGTTTCCCCCGAACAGCAGAAGTTCGTATTGAAACTTATGGGGTTTGACTTTTAGATAGTCTACCGTCCAGGCCGACAAAATGCAGTAGCTGACGCACTATCCAGACGGACTGATGTGGCTGAGCTTGATGCTATCACCGGACAGACTTGGGCTATTTGGGATAAAGTCAGGAAGGCGCAAGA